AACAACAACAATAACAGCCCCTCCCCCCAACACAACAATAACAAGAAAATAAATAACACCCCCTCCCCCCCAAAAAAAAAAAAATTAACAAAAACAATTCGGAGTTCTAAAAACGTTCTTCCGAAAAGTAGTTCTCTTTGATGTCATCTCTAGCCAACTTAAAAGTAAACACTGCAACTCAACTTTCCATTTAAAACAAAAGACAAAACTATTAGAGTAAGCTTTGACAAAAACTTGAACAATAATAATAATACTGCAACTTCTCTATCGATTAATGTTTGTTCAGGGAAGGACACAGTCGTTTGCAGCCATCGACATGGAGCCGATGGTCACTCTACGATCCAAAGAGATGGACCTGTATAAAAAAGGAAAACTTACTGTGCACATAAGACACACAATTGAAATGAGGTTTGGTATGCAAAACACTTTTATTTATTAAGATAGAAAATAATGTTTTTAACGTAAATGTCTAACCAAATTTTCGAGACAATTTTCTGGATGCTTTTTTGTTGTCTTTTTCAAGTTATTGTTTCGTTTTTTCTATTTATTTTGTTGCTGTTCACTGCCATGCAACCAAGAATACTGTTCTATGTTACATCATCTGCTGACTCCTGTGCAAACTGGTATACGCTGACCTTTCACTCTTTTTCCTGTTTTAGTTAACACAAATATGACCTTAGCAGTTGCGGGCGCCGTAAAACCCTATACTATACATACATATACAAATTTTGGTACGTTGAAGTGTGAGTCGTCTTTACCACACCTACCAGTTTCTACATTTTCTTTTTCTTGATAAACTTGTTAATAGTCTGAGTTACGTGGTGCCCACCCGTTAAACGAAAAATGAAGGGAAGTAAAAAGATTAGCTAGTTGTGTGTCACTAACTTGGGGCCCGAGGCAGGGGTCAAATCTTTATTTGAGCATTCACCAGGGAAGCAAGACGGGTACAGAGGAACAAATCAACCGTAAACCCACCAACAATAGCCTAAGAATGCCCGCATGCGAGACAGGAAAAGACTGGAACTGTCGTGGGGTGAGAAAAAAGGATGTTAACTTTACTCTAACGCACCGAACATTTGAAGGTGCACCAAATCATGTTTTTATTCTCCGTTTTATATAATTATAATAATTGCAATATTGATAATAATAATAATAATAATAATAACAATAATAATAATAATAATGATAATTATTATTATCA